TCTGGACATGAAATGTCTAATCCTTTTAATCTCAGCATCACTATTAGATAGCATCACTAACAATATTTAACATTGTCACTTTTATTTGGAAAAAATGACACCATTAATAAAGATGGAGGATCAAAATTTAACAATAAGCAATCACTCCTATTCTCAAGCATAGACTTGAAAAACACACACACACACACAAAATACATACACACATTTCAAAGCTAAGAAATCTCTAATCAAGAGAATATAAGGGTTCTGCTCTTTCACATACTCTTTTTACTTGGCCATTGTGTGAGAGAGGACTGTGCTCACATAGTATTTAGAAGCAAGATGCTTACTCCTTGGTTATAACATTGCAGTCTGGTCAAATAGCAATAGCACTTAGACTTACATACCACTACACAGTGCTTTACAGCCCTCTCTAAGTGGTTTACAGAGTCAGCATATTGCCCCCAACAATCTGGCTCCTCATTTACCAACCTCAGAAGGAAGGAAGGCTGAGTCAACCTTGAGCCGGTCAGGATCAAACTGCTGACAATCAGCAGAATTAGCTTGCAGTACTGCATTCTAACCACTGTGCCACCGTGGCTCCTATTTTTCAAAGAAAGGAATCACGAGAGTCTTCCCATACTGGAAGTTTCAGAGGATTAGATTAGCTGAGTTCCAATCATTATCATGTAATACTCCCAAATAGCAAAATGGAAAGATGATCAGGGAGCTTCATTTAGGCCATGAAATCCAAGTCAACATCCTACTGAGTGCAGTAATCCAAATTAAAGGATTCCTGAGATGTGATTACACTGTTTCCAACTGTTTTTGGCTTGCCAAAAAAGCTATGTAAATGCAGCAAGTTTTTAGAACTGTATAATATTGTAGATATATAAATGGGGGTCAGATTTTATCTGCCTTCCTCAATCTGATGATTTGCAAATAAATTCAGACTTTCATGATATATGCCAGCATTTAGAATTCTGGAAGTTAAAATCCCAACACATTTGGAGGCCAACAGTTTGAAGAATAATATTTTACATCCTTGACTGATAACAAAATATATTGTCACCCTGCTTTAACAATCACAGAAAAAAAACACCACTCTGAATGTCAAATGATTTCATGTTAATAGATTTAGAACAGATTAATATACATTTGCATCTGCACAAATAGTTCTCACTAAGATGAAAGAATCAAACTGCTGTCAAGCATATCACTCTTTTCCATTTTATATTTATTTGGAGTACCAATAATATGTAAACTTAAAAGGGGAACAAGGGGATCAGCATTGCAGAAGAAAGAAAATTGAATCAAAGTTTTGGCACAAATATAGTTGATCTCCAACTAATGTTTCCTCTAAAAGTGCCAGCATGAGTCATCTCTGCCCTGATATGTCAACAGCAACCTGCTCTTCTAAGTCATGTATCAACTTATTAAATGGACTGCAATTCTCCAACAATAACTTTAGAATTCAAATTATGTAACTCTGGCATAAAAAATAATGATGCCCTCCAGTTAAGTACAACTTCTGTTGACCACATAAGCCAGGCATGTCAAACTTGCAATGTCACGTGATGTCACGCGATGTATCGGAGCTTTTTCGCCATTGCTGGCAATGGGGTGAGCGCGGCTCCGGTATAATGAAACCGGCCCGCAGGCCAGTAGTTTGACACTCCTGACATAAGCAAATCAGTTAACTTGGTTTTTTGTGGTCCTTCAATCACATATTTGACCAATCCTGCTTAACTTCCTAGCCCAAGAAATTGCCAGCTTGAATCCAGGTAATCATAAGATACCCATTTACTTGAAGATTAACTGGTGAAGATATTCTGCCATTTCAGCTCTGTCTTTTGGGGCAGGTTTATCCATTTCCAAATGAAGTCCTCTTTTATTTTGTAAGAATGCATTTGGGGCTGCAAAGGGAGACACCAGCACTTTGCTGTTAAATTCATTGTAAATATTCTAAAAATAAAGTTAGAGGCAACAAGAAGCCTTATAGCATCAAGCTTGGTAGCAGCAAGGTATCTATTTTGTCTATCCAAATGCAGCTTACCATGATTTTTATATTTATTTTTTAAAAATCAGTACCTTTATTGCACAATACAAGTTGGTAAGTTTGTTCCAACAAGGTCACAGTCTAAAACACTGAGGAAACTAAACAAAAACAGGAGACACATTTGTTTAATCAGGAAGAGAAATGCGATTATTTTATTTACACATTTAAGTTTAATGATAGAAGAGCATCATGTTTTACAATATTGAAAGTTGATAGCAATGCAGCCAATAGTATAATTATTGCAAATGTCACACACCATGTTAAAATTATAAGCAATTTGTCACTGGGGGTTTTTTGGGGTGTGTGGGAGAAGGGTGTTAGCAGCATCTAAAGTATATATTTCTACAATTCCATAATATATTTACAGTGGTAAAAGTTAAAAATGGCAGTAGAGCTCTCACAGGCAGTGTTCGGAAGAAAAGGTATATCTGTAAGATATCGAGGTCGTCGACGTGTTTGTCCGTCTTCGTTGTACCCAGGTGAGGTACGGTTTTTTTACAAACAAGTAAAGAGAAACAGTACGTCGAAAGTTTCTCGTGGGAAGGGACATTTCCGTCCCTGTTCGTTTGTCACGAACCATTTCTTCGTCGGGTCTATTCTAGGTTATTCGCTTTCTGTCCTAAACTTAGAGCTACCAGATCTGGCACTGCAAATGTCAATCGCTAAATGGTATCAAAGCAATAACATTTCCTTTACTCCCTCCCGCCCCCATTCCAACACTTACTCTTTGATGCCATCTAGTAGTTGTCCTAATTTTTGTAGCCTAAATCTCATATTTACCTAAATCTGCAAACTGCTATTTCATACATACACTGGTGTCGTTTCAACCACATACAAAACCGAACAAAGTCAGAGCCCCCTTCTGCAATCTGGTACTTTCCAGATGATATGAATTAATTCAGTTATTTATCTCCCGCTTGAGGATGATATGGGTTGTAGTCTATGATATGTTAAAAGCACCAAGCAAAAATGAGATAGCTTCATTTTTTTTTTATTTCTATATCTTTAAGAATCTCGGAAAAGGTTATAAGTCATGATATATATAAATTAATACCGTAAGATTTAATATTTTTAAAAGCCTTAACCAAAAAGGATCATAATATAAAGTACAGATTTTCAGAAGGAATAGTAGAATGTGGTCAGGCCATGTAATAACTTTGCTGCAAGAGTGAAAAGGAAGATACTCAACTTATATATATATAAAAAAAACCAAGCAATATTGTGCAATATTAGGGGAAGGGTACTTGAAAACATGGACAAAAAAAGGGAGAAGGGGAGAGACAGAACAGAGAAAGCCCTCTCTCACATTCTTACATAGTGCACATATCCTAGGCACAATGCAGCATTTAGGAGAGTTTTCTTCCTCCTCCAGATACATATACTGGAACAGATGCTTCTCAGACATCAGGATCCTAAACCATTTAAGACCTTAAAAGTTATTATGAAAACTCTGAAACCTGATCTGTAGCATATAGGGTAGTTCCTTTAGGATGTTTGAAGCAGCTGCATTCTGTACCAGTTGCAGCTTCCAGCCAACTGCAAGGCACATTGGGCTATTGAAAGCCAGCCAGGAAAGGTTGCATCTGACAGCTGGGCACAGCTGGCCAAATGTACTTTGGGCCACCAAGATCTCTTGGACCTCACATGACAGAGGCAAAGGTATACATCTTTGAGACATTTACTGCAATATGTATGGAATCTTATAACAATATCTGTTCTAAATTCCATAGCTTATATTGTTCTTTTGGTACTGATGGGATCAGAACTCAAAGCCCCAAATTGAACTGGATTCAAGTGAGAATTAACCCACCCAGTTTCCAAGTTGGAGGCTAGGTGATACTCAAATTAGTATCCCCCACTCTCCTGTGCTCTATTAACTCCTGCACTCCAAGGATATTTCCATGGAGGTCTTGATGCCAATTCAAAAGCAGCTCTAGATTTCTTGTGATCCCATGTTAGCTGGGTTTAGTGTAAGACAATCTATTTCAGGTCTAGCTATGTTTTAGTGTGATGATGATGTAAATCATAACCTTCTTTTTCAACAGTAAAGTTTTGGAGAGGCTATGAGTATTTTTCTACTGAAAGGATTTCTTGCCTTATCTTTCCTCCTCCTTTCTGAGTTTCAGCCCTCTTAGCAAGTCCATGAAGGGGGAATGCTATTTTTAAATAAGAGGGTAAAATTGACAAGAGACCCTTTTGTTTCTCAGTCTTTTTTCCCCTGCCCCTTTGGATATGTTGGGAGGGATGGAGGTGGGAGAATTGATTTCGGTTATCCCAGTGCAATCAGGGTGATTCGCAGCATAGAAGTGCTGTTCCTGTTTTTGCAGCATAAAAATTCTGCAACTGTTTTAGAATGTACTAAGGACATTCCATGCTACCCTTCCATTTTAAAGTGATCTCTGATAGAGAAGGAATGGTGGGTTGATAGGCAGCTTCACACCATTATAAGGATCAGATTGATTTATATATTTTGCAAACAGGAAAATGCACAGAATACATATTTTAAAACATGAAAGAGCAAACAATAATGTATTTCATTTCCTTTTTCTGTGGCATGATGACAAGGATTGGGAGAGGGGCATTTCTTCAAGACCTGCAGTAGCTTTGATATGGAAAAATAGCAAGCATGTATTGTGATACCTGATTTGTCATTTATCTTCCTATTCTGCCTCCACCCATTCTATGTGTGGTTTTAGTTGGTCACTTGCTTCTACTAGTCATCCAAATAAAGTTTAACGAAACCTTCCTAACTCCTTACATGTTCTGATTCTAAACCAAAGAGAGTCTCCTTACTCGTAACACGTACCTTTACAGAATGTTGAGGGTAGAGGGTCCAAAACAAATTACATAAGGGAGGGGTCCCGTAAAGTGGGTCGTTTTACTGTCATAAACCGATTAAAGAAGTAATCCCTCACTGACTGCACTGTTTCGTTTTTCTGTTTTGGATCTTTATCAATTATAGGTGAAAATTGAGAACCAGCATGATTTCCAAGACATTGTAAGTGTGGTAGCCATGGCCAAAACATATGTCACAACAGAGACTTTTGTTGACTCCAAATACGACATCCGAATCCAGAAAATTGGCAACAATTACAAAGCTTACATGTGAGTTTTTTTACAGATATTGTGACTATGTTGAAGAAACTATGTTGAAGAGATTTGGTTTTAAATTGAAAACGAAGCAATGTTAGAGTTCTAAACACATATTACATTCTATATATTGCAACCTTCTCTTGTTTTAAAGACTAGCCAAGAAGAACAATGTATGTTAAATGAAAAGAGAAATAATAACTTTTATATAATGCATTCCCTTCTGGTGAAGCTTTAGGCAGCTGCCAAACATATTGTCTTAACAGGATTCTGAATCACAAGTTAAAGAATTTCATAAAGTTGCTTTGCCGTTCAGCAGCACATAGATTAAAAAAGACACGATGGAAGGTCTAGTAAAGGAAGGATTGGGCAATCAATAATGGATTGAGTGCTCTCCAGATGTGAGAGATGCAACTCCAGAGTTGCAGCCCCAATATACCTGGAGGGCAACAGGTTGCAGAAGGTTGCTAAAGATTAGAAAAAATGGCAACTGAAAACTATTGGGCTCAGTGCTGGACTAGATAAGTGTTAAATAGCAGCAGCCCGTTACTATGCATGAGGATAACAAATCCTTTTGTAATGGGTAGTGACTAATAGTTAAGACTAGGAATTCAAAAATAACAGGGAAAACAAAATTCAACCATATAAATGCACAACCCCTGGGATTTTACCACAACTAATCCATGTTATAATTCTATCATTCTTAGAACATACTCCCAAATGCTATTGTTTGTTCAATTGTTCTCAATATAATATTTTCCAAACTGTATTATGTTACAAAGAATATTTGTCAAACAGAATGTAAGATACTTAGTCATTGGTAGCAGATCAGAAAATTTTTGTACATTCATTTGACAAAAGAAAAAAAGAAAAGAAAAGAAAGAAAGAAAGAAAGAATCTATTCTTATATGATTTATCAATATCAACATAAATGGCTAAGTGATAGAAATGAATGTATTTCTTTGAAAAAATGCATGTTTTCTTTTATTAATATTTTTTAAAAACTAAATAAACAAAAAAGGAAAAATTGAAGCAAACATTCTATTAGTAGATGAACAGAGAGATTGCAAAATTGTGCAGTTGATGCTCAATATATTGTTAATGAAGGATTAACCATACAAAGCAAAATGTACTGGGTTGCTTTTAACAGCAAGGAAAAAGATTATAAATGTCTTTTTAAATATCTGAGTTGAATGTCAATATATCCACTATTTATTATTTAAAGATAAATCACCTAAGAGAAAAAAGAAAAAGGAAAAAAAAACTACTAAAAGCATTATTGAGTAAATATTTAGTTTCCAACTTCCCATTTGTATCCTGACTGATATTCAATATTTATACAATCCAAGTTTTCATGTATTTCTAACTTCAGTTCTTTAATTATTTCTTTTCCCCTTAAAATGTACTCCAATGTTTATATTTGCCTTGCTATGTAATATATAATATGCATGGAAACTATTTTACTTGAATTTAGTCAAACTTCAATTGTGAATATATACTGCTAATTTTACCATTGTTGACTATACTCCAAGCTTAACTTCTCATTCTGATATCATCAGTAAGATATCTCTTTGCCAATGTTGTGTTAAACCTCTCCTTGCAGCCATCAGCATGCCTCTTAGTAAACTGTGATTTGTGTGTGTGATATGAAATGTATATAGACAATACGTAATGATCTAAATTCCTGTTTAAGTGATGCCATCTTTTCTGAGAGCAGAAGAGATGCTAAATACAAAAGCTAAGACTGCACAAGTAGGAGACATCAGCCAAGTTTGAAATGTAGATTCAGCTCTTGGTCTGAAATGATTTTATAAAACTCCAGAAAGATTAGCACTTCCTTAGCTTGTCAATATACAATATACAATGTCAGTATACAATTTCCTGGACTGAATAGTCATGTATTTGAAGAAACTTCTCTATATATCTTGCTTAGCCTTTGCTGCAGGAATCAAACCACATTGTGTTGGTCTTAAGCAAGCATCATTCAAAATGTAATTAAATGTATCTTATAGCTAGTTCTTTTCTAGCGTATAGAAAAATATTTGTAGCACTGTAACAAGTGAAATGTTCAAAGCTTGTATCGTGACTGATACTGAAGTTAAAATTCTGAATATTAGTTTCAAAATGTTCTACTTTTCAGCAGTAAGCTATGTTCTCATACCCTTCTGATGATGCACATCAAGAGCGTGTGAAACCTGACATTTATAATATCTGATCATGCAGCTGGGCAACATTATGGATGCTACACTCTAAATGTAATTTCAGAAGACCAAGTCTGCCAGCAGCACTACCAGCAGGCACAGGCATTAATAACCAGTAACAAGAAAAAAGACTTGACTCCTTTAATACCACTTGAGGAATCAGTGGGAGAAAGCCAGTGGGTGGTTTTTAGTGCCATTCAATCTCCATCAGCAGAGATAGCTGTATTTCTACCACAATAGGAAGTAGACCTCAATGAAAGCCACTGGTTTAGCTTTTTATCCTATCATCTCCCTTTTTTTAAGACCAATTCTAAAGCTCACTGATGTCTGTGGGAAGCTTTTGCTTGGCTTTTCTGGCATGGGGTTTCATGAGCAGTTTAAATTCTACACTACAGTGGGCAAGGTTAATTATTCCACAGCCTTTTCACAGACGTTTCTACTGTACAATGCCTGGCATACCCTGCAAAAGAGTTCATAAGGCTGATATAAGAAAACCCAACAAGGATTTGGATAAAGATATAACTACGTGGGAGGTTGCCAGCATTTAGAGGGCCATTTTCAGCTTATGGACGGTGTTACACATTGACCGAATCATCAGCAACAGTTAAAAGCTTCGAAGACAGCAGGGCTCTGAAAGGATTTTGTGCCAACTCAGTCTGTCCTGCTTCCCTCATTTCTTCCCTCCTTTGTTCAGTTTGGATAGGAATTACAATGTTTGGGAGCATTGATTGTTCTCGTATGCCTTGTTTGTTTTTCCCAGGAGGACATCAATCTCTGGAAACTGGAAAGCAAACACAGGTTCTGCCATGTTGGAACAGATCGCCATGACTGAGAGGTATTAAATAGAAAGAGCTACTATTACTAACATGCAATCTTTCGGGTAAATCTGATAGACTTAAAACTGTATTAAGTATTTATCTCCAACAACCAGCAGTAGTGCAGAAACTCAATTTGCATTCTTGAAAATTAAAACATGGCACCTGCTGCTTTCTGCTTCTCCTCCTTCTCATTTAACTCCTCAACTCTAGTGTTGCTTTCTTTCTGTGGAGCGAGAGAGCACAGTGGGGTGATATATCCTATTCATCCTAGATTGTCATGCCAAGAAGGCAGAGTGAGAAGCAGGCTGAAAGAAGAATATGCCTAAGCTTTTTCATTTCCAGTCAAGGCAGGTTTCCTATACCAACATTTTCTGCACAGAACTATTCAGCCTACAATCAGATTGTTATGAGTTTACTACATTGCAGTTGTGTATTTTATTACACATGATGGCAAAGTTACAGAGCACCTATTTGCACACAGAAGGTCCTAGGCTAAACTTGACTATCTTGAAATAGATTTAGAAGACTTCTCGGTGTATACTTGCCTAACAGCGTATATAATATTGAACTCAATATGCCAACATAAGGCAATGCCTTCTGTACACATTCAAATGCAGCTCTTAAAATGTGATATATAGTTATAATTAACTTGAAGAGTGTAATCGTTTTTGTAATATACTGTATTCATATTATACTTTTAAGTACTCCTTTATTAAATATGTGAAACTCACAGGGCTCAGTTAAATCTTGGTAACCCATATATTATAATAATGTATGAATGCAAAACAGAGGCACAAGTGATTGATCAGCCTTCTATTGACCCCTTATGATGCAATGTTAGTAATAGCTCTGTAGCTGAATGTGTAAGTAAATCCTACAAAGAATACTGGCATAAATCAATTTGAATGTTTTGCTTCCTACAGATTCTAGGCAGGACTAATGCTAGCCAGAATGAACTCAGTTAGCATTGTCTTGTTCCCCACCTCCTCCAAATTTTGTGGTGGAATAAATTATGGAACAATTTGGACATCTCTTTTGCTTTTTAAAAACTATTTCAACAGACTCCTATTCAGCACTGCTTGGATGGCCACATGACCATGCAAGTTTCTTTTAGGTTGCATTGAAGTATTCAGGATGGGCTTATTATGTCTAATTACTATTGCATTCGAATCTTGTTTGAGACTGTTGAACTATTTCCTATCTACACTTACCCTAGAAAGTTTTATACTTTCTTTCCAGCATCTTCTTGTTCATTCTTTCATGAGGAGCCACTTTGTTCCCTTGCTTCAGCCCTAGATTTCCATGACGTTCCTTGTGAATTAGCATGGGCAACCTGTTTGATTCATGGGGTTAATCTGCAATGTCAACAGCACATTCCTAGTACCCTTCTCCTCACACAAACCCAGTGTGGGAAAGAATTAGCTCACCAATGATAATTTATTCTAATTTTAGAGTTTCTCTTCAAAAAAGGTATTCAGATTTTCATCTTTGTCCCCATTGTTTCTGCCTTTTCCAAATGCTTTGTCACCTCACTCTAGAAGTGCAGTGTTGACTACAATAGCAACACTGTTAGGATGATGTAATCAGAAATAAGTATGAGCCATTTCTCCATTAGACACAGATATGAGGGCCCTCCCAAGGTATTTCAGAAGAGAAACATGGTCTGCAGTATCTCAAGCCCTTTCAGACTTCTGAAAAGCCCTCAGAATGAGGGGAGGGGGAAACTACATCCAAAGTTTTCATAACTTGTATCTAGAGTTAATATAACTAATTTTTCTCCCACTGTAATGGGTGAAAGAAAGGAAAGTTTAAGGAAAATAAAAGTACAAGAAATATTTCTCCTATCTGTTGTTCGGTCAGCATGAGTATGCAGCTTTGGATAAAGAGGTTCATTTGCCATCAGATTCTTTGCATTTCTTGAATCAAATAACTCTTTGCTCCCTTTTAACGATTCACAAGGTAAGCTATCTAAGTTGACTATTTCATCAGGCTTAATAGGTGGGGCTGACCCTAATAGGACTTTTTATTACTTTAATTGACTATAAGCTACAGACAGAGTATTTAGCAAGTACTGCTTCTTTATGCAGAAATATGGAAAACTCCAACTCTACTTTTTACTCATGCCAGCTGAGGAGGCCTGATATGGTCCCTATCAGCCCAAGTATTCCAGGGTTCAGGAGAAGAGCCTTCTCTGCCATTGCACCTGCCCTTTGGAACATTTTGCCCCCCCCCCCAATGAGGTCAGCTCCAACCCTCCTGACCTTTCATAAGAGCCTTAAAGACCTGACTCTGCCAGTTAGCTTGGGGCTCCCATAGAGAAGCATCATAGTGGAGATGGTTGATCAGTTAACAACAGATCCCAGTTCCCCTCCATTCCATCTTTTAATTGGGCTGCAATATTTCAATCTTCATAGTATTTTATTTATGTTTAGCTTTAGCTTTGTATAGTTTTTATCTTTTAAGATTGTAAGCCACTCTGAGTTACCCTGAAGTAAGACAGGCAGTCAATAAGTTTTACAAATAAATAAATAATAAAAATACCCAAGGCTACAAATCTTATCCTGGTTTACATCTGTTTGGCTTAGATTCAAGAAAGCTACAGACTATACAGATCTTTTTAAACCCTTATAAAAGATAAATATAAGGAGATAATACAGAAAGGAATTGGAAAGTATGAAATACAGAATAACATTTTTGTTTTATAGGTCTTCCATGTACTAGATATTTTGTCATGGTTAAAGAAAGCTTATATGCAGCTTTCGAAAGCAATACATTGTTCGTATCACTTCTATAAGTGACTGACAGCTTAGGTATAAAAGTCAAAAGCAATGTAACAAACTGCAATAAAATGTAAAATAAAGAAACCAAAGGAATAAAAACAGTTGCCAGTAGCATAGTAATTAAATTGCACTGAAATCAAGTGAAATGGAGATCATCTTTGACCTTGCTTTGACAGACATGTCCATGTGCTTTTCTTGGAAACGATACAGAAGTAGTTTTTCAGTGTATTCTGGATTTTTTTCATTATTATTTTTTTACTTACTTGCTTGCTTACAATTGGGGAATTGTGGACTCTCATCCAATTCTAATTAAGTCTAATTAGAATTAGAATTAATTAGCATTAATTAAGCTAAGGTTGCCTAGGTGCTATCATCCAGCAGAGCAAAAGCATTTTACCTATGGTTACAAACAACAAAGAAGATTTAGGGGGCTAAGAAGAGAGAGTTCCACAACCAATGACACCCAAGTGCTACCGCTGCTCTTTTAATCACTGTCATCTAGTTGTCCAATGGGCAACAAGGAATTAAAGCCATTTGCCTCTATGATCCTTTTCACTTTGGGCAGTGATTGACATAAGGAGAACAAGAAACCATGGGTGGAGATGAGGGATTATTCTCATTGAAGGCACGTCAAAACATGGGGCCACTTTAAACTTTATGTCCATTAAAGAATATAATAGTCAAGAAGATTCCTGTGGTGAGGGATCATCTTCAGATATCTGCAGCCCTGATCCTTGCTACAATTGTCTACAAAAGAAAGGAAAGTCCCCTTTGTCATATGGTCTGGATACACCAGGAATTACATTCGCTGTTCTTTATCCAGCCTGGGTTTGTAATCTTCTCTGCAAATGTTTGGAATTTTTGGAATTTGCTGAATGTTCAAGAGAATAAAAACATGCAATTAAAAATTCCTTTTGCTTGTTTCATTTAGACAACTGTTGTGAGACCCTTCATGTTCTTCTAGAGATTTTTCTTATTTCTTATCTTCTAAAGCAGAAATGGTACTTGCTCTTTCTCTGCCTACCATGCCTCTATATTTTTGAGATTCTGTTTTAAAAGGATTATATAGGGAAAGAGCTGCATGGGCTAGTCATACTATTGCTTTTTCTGAAAAACAAAACAAGGAGAATAGGCATTACTGGGAACTTTTTTTCTTTTTTAGAGAAAACAGTTAATTGAACATTTTGTATTGCTTGATATAGTAGTAAGAATTAACATATCAATTAAGACACAAAATAGTACAGTATTTAGTCAAAATACTCAGTACTGAACTAAGGACAGAAGTCATTGTTTTTACAGCTTTCCCAAGAAATATAATACTCTTCCTTTTCTCGCCAAATTGATGAGGACATGGTTATTCTATTTGATTGTGTGTTATCAAGTTGGTGTCAACTTTTAATCACCACATACATAAATTATCTCCAGAGTGATCTCTTCTCAACCTGGTTCTTCAAGTCTCCCAATAGTTCACCTAACACCACAGCAATTGAGTCTATCCATCTTTTCGTCTTTTTGTCTTTCCTTCCATTGTCTCTTTATAAACTTTATAAACTTCTCAATAGAGCTAGCTCTTTGCATAATGGGTCCAAAGTATGTTAATTTGAGCCTGGACATTTGTGTGAGAATTTTTTGTTAAGATCCCTTTTTTTTTCTTGGCTATTCATTTTATTCTCCAGTTTTGATGTTGAATTTTCTCTAACATCAAAATTAAAAAAATGTTAATATTCTTTCTATCTTGCATTTTCAACATCCAATTTTTTATTTCTATTGAGTGTCACAGGAAAAACCATTACAAAGATTTGATCTTTGCAGGTACAGATTCATAGGGCATTTAATAGCTTTTGTAACACCTTCAATTCTATTCTACCAAATGATAACCTGGGGTGTATTTATTGCCTGCTTGTTCCTTTATGGTTGACAGTTGAATGTAAAAGGCAGAAGCTATAAAATATATTCATATTTTCTTTGTCAATATGGATTTCATCAGAAATATTTTAATTTGAGAAAACATCTGTATTATTAGCATAAAACCACTGTAAAACAAAGCTATCCATTTTGTGGAAAGAATATTGCTATCCCTGAATAAGAAGCTTGTTTGATTTTTTTTTAAATCACAGTTTAAACAAATAATAATACCATCTGGTTTTGGCAGATACCGACTTTGGGCAGATTCTGTTGCAGAGATGTTTGGCGGCCTTGATATCTGTGCAGTCAAAGCGGTTCACAGCAAGGATGGGAAAGATTATATCATTGAGGTGAGGAGTTGAATGAATAGAATGTAAGTACCATTTAAATAAAGAGATTCAGCATGGCAATCCATCACTTGCCTCTGGCTCCTACCCTGGCCACTGAGCAGTTCAAAAGCATTATTGCAAGTAGATAAATGGGTACCACTCCAGTGGGAAAGGCTAGCTGCATGAAGACAGTGGGGGCCTGCGCTGGAGCTGCCCGGATGCTAGATGAGATCAATGGAAGAGGCCCCAGAAGAAGTCACCAACCTGAACACTACTAGTCAGCTGGTAACCTCTATGGTTCATTATAGATAAGCACACAAGCACAAAACTGAACAAACTAGCAATTAGGCTGTCCAGATACTCTGTAACATAGCATTGTAAAACTCCTTGACAAATGTATGCCATACAAAATTAATAAAAAAGCATGGCAACCCATTCAGACACACATGCAGCTATTTCAGCACTTTGCCTACATATCTTTTTCACCTATTCCATCTTAGAACTGATTCATTTAATTGATTTAATAAAAGACAGAGCACTAGGCTTTAGAATATTTGGATATTAGCTATCTCAGATTTGCACATCGTGATCAAAAAATTAAGAAAGCACCTTTCCATTCCAGTCTTCCAGCCATTTTCAAGCACCTTCTGTACCTTTAAATTACAAGGAATAGGGTTTTTCCTTCTAGGATACACCCTGAAACAAGGTAAATGTTATGAATGGAAATAATAAAGGGCAGGGGAACAAAACCCCATATTAACTCGGAAAAAAAAATAAACCGAGCAGTTCAATAACAATGTTCAGGATGCTAATTCCACTCAACTGCCTTTTCCACTTGCTTCATTGGTGTAGACAGTAAGTACATGATCTAAAGGAGAGAGAGAAAGAGGCAGAACAAAGTTGAATGCCCTGTAATAGAGAGGGCTCCTGTCTCTCTTCACCACCCAGCTTTTATAGACTGCACCACAATGGGATGTGCAGACTGAACTTTGTGCTGTTTTTATTAGACTTGGGAAGCTAGCCAACTCAGAGGAAGGAAAGAGTAGATTATGCACATCAAAGCAGTGATATAAGAAAAGAAAAAGTTTAAGTCAGAGAGAAATGGAACAATGCTAATCAAAGGCTAAAGATAAAAAAACCGATGACCTTGTTGGTGACCATCAAACCAGAAAAAGGGTTTATCCTGCTCCTGTGTCTTTTAATAATTAAACAAAAATTAGCAGGTGAAACTATTCAGTGCATAGTGCTTTCCAGATGTTTTGCTATAATTCCCACAATCTTTCACCTTTGCTCAGGATAATTGAAACTGATAGTTGAACTCTACAACTTGGAGGGCACCGCTGATCCCACTGGATTAGCTTTCTTCAGTTGCTGGTTTTAATATTTCTTCAGGAGATTCTAATATGTATTGCTGCAGTTCTTCTCGGTTGCCAACCCCCAAAATGAAGTCTTGAATCAGAGCTGCAGCTTTTTTGAGATTTCAGCTTAAAACAAAATAAGGAAATTCCCTGAGGAGCTTGTGGGTGGCATGAATAATAAAGCCTTCTGTCCCTCTTTATCAGGGACACTCTGGGTCTAAAAAAAATTGAAGTTTTTTTAAGTAAAGCTTGCCAGGCTGAGAAAAAGTTATTTGTCGGAGTGGAGAGGGTCATACCATGGAGAAGGATGGATATTTGAAAATCATCAAAGCTGAAATGCAAGATCTGCTCAAGGGGAGGGGGAAGAAGATAATCAGGGCAACTGGAGAGAAAAATGAGCAAGTGTCCTTGGCTACCATATGAGGATGCTGGAATGGAGACTCAGTGTCTGCCCTGCTGTAAACTCCACCAACGCAGGGAGGCGAATAAAGCCGGCCTACTGCAACATTCAGGGCCACTGACATATCCAAATAGCTGCATGTGGGAGAGCATTCCCACCCACTGAGCCTTTGGAAACTGATGAGAACCACATGAGCCCTCCAGGACCAGCACATTCTTCTGCTGCATAAATGTTCTGCAGGAATCAGTGACAGGTCAAAGGTTATGTGACACAAGTGTGCTGCCAGGAAGGGGAAAAAAATCTCTGCTTTTGCTATTTCTTCTCTTCCTGTAAATCAAGAACTGTTGTGTTGGTCACTTTTAATAGTTAACATAAAATTGTACTCATCAGAACCTTCATATGGAGGTGGAATAGAGGTGGCTTCAGGCCAAAATCAAATGACATTTCTTCTGATTATCCCAAGTTATACTTTAGAAATCCTAGGAGTATTATTGATACAAAGCATTTAAAAGCACAATCTAGGAAAGTTGAAAGCGGCAGAGGATATTAGCAGATTAGGCTTTTACAGTATTGTACAATTGCTTTGCTTCCTTCTAAAATTTTACAAGAGATCTAAACAATTTTCTGCATTTCTAATTCTCCCATCTTTTGCCATAGCTGTTTACCAGAAAAGATATTGATTAAGAAGGAAAAGGTAGAATAGGTGTATGATTTTTTTAATTGCTAGACATAGGAATCCTCTGTCTGAAAAACATCTCATTTCTGGTCCTACCTTCAAGCATGATACAACTTGTCTATTTATCATCATCATTGCAGCCACTGAAGATAACTCCCTCCCAAATCATTAACTGTGGTTATTCCTTCCCCCATCTCTAAGGAGAGAACATATATTTAAAAAATGAAGCGAAAGCAAAGTAAGAAGGGCTGTCCTTTAAAAGTTGATCAATATTTCTGTTAGTAGTGATTTAATTTGTGATATACTGAAATCTTCCCAGTAAAAAAGAAAACTGAAAACTAAGAAAAGTTAAATCACTCATTCTTTTCCCAGTTGAATTATCCCAGGCGTTAATATAAAGCATTATTTTTATTTCTCCATCTAGACCATATAAGCATGCAGATCTATTCCCATGCATAATTTTCCACCTAGACTGTCCCTGCTCCTGAATTGTGCGCATATAGATATGTTTCATGATCCTACCTTGTTATTTTCTGAGGCCTAGGCCTCAGGTAAAGCCAAATACAATAACTATCTACTCCTAAAAGGTACTAACCGTTGGAAAGACTAGTGCCTAGCCAACCACAGAAGCAGATAGTAAGGAAATTTATGTTTGGAAGAAAACCCAAATCTGGATCATGGTCACTGGATGGGCCAAATCAATAGCAATAGCACTTAAACTCATATATCACTTCATAGTGTTTTGCAGCCCTCTCTAAGAGGTTTACAGAGGCAGCATATTGCCCCCAACAATCTGGGTCCTCATTTTACCAACCTTGGAAGGATGGAAGGCTGAGTCAACCTTAAGCCAGTCAGGATCAAACTGCTGGAAGTTGGCAGAATTAGCCTGCAATACTGTAGTCTAACCAGCACACCACTCAAGGACTCTTTTAGTAATGGGGATTGGGATAGCTGGGAAATAATTGCTTTTAACTCCGCCCATTTATCTTTACTGAAAGGAGAATTGCAGCAAAGCCTATAGAGTTAATTCTCCTATTGACATGCTTCCAGTATCTGGATTTCCTATCATCTATCTATCTATCTATCTATCTATCTATCTATCTATCTATCTATCTATCATCTATCTATCTATCTATCTATCTATCTATCTATATCTATATCTATATCTATATCTATACAGGTATATATATATATAGTCACAATGTATTATGTTTAATAAAAGGGAATTTCAACAAACCCTTTAGGATGACTGCAGAATTGCAGCAAATGCTATAGAATGAAACCTTATAGAATGAATATTCCTACTGACATGCTTCCAAAAACAGCTGAAGTATTTTTAATAATCTTTTAAGTCAGAAGATCAATCAAATCAATAAAACAAATCTTTTTGAAATATGCATTCATTTGGGTTGTTGGCTTGATCTCCGAGCTTGGCGATTTGGCTGCAAACATTTTATCTCCATTCAGGAGGGGGGGGGACATCTTCAGTGCGCTTTGAATTGTGCTCATCTGTCAGAGCACTGGCCTTTTAAATACCTTTTCGTGTGTGTGTGTGTGTGTGTGTGTGTGTGTGTGTGTGTGTGTGTGTGTGTGTGATGTAAATTGGTGTGGGTGTTATTTGTCTGGATGCTTTCATCCCGTTCTCAAATTGTGCATAAAATTTGAGTTGGCATGTTATTTTTAAAACACTCATGTATGGATATTTATTTCCTATTACTTATATACTGCCACAGTCGTGCACCTCTAGGTGGCTCACAATCCTAAAAGCCAAAGTAGCCATATGAGAATGCTCATTAAAAATAATGTACTATTAGGATAGCATGCTGTCAGACAAATAGCAGGCAAAGGGCAATGTCCAAAGGCTGTTCGTTTATGTGATATATGGAAATTTCTGAAACAGCCATGTTTTAACATCTTTCTGAAGATGAGTTAAATCCACTGAGATCTCCTTAGCAGATGACCAGGTTGAGAAAATGTTCAACTTCCACTTCTAGATTAGCTGCTGACCCAGTAGCAGATGAAGAGACCTTTTTTTAAATCAGTTGTCAGTCCCTCAACTTCAAAATGGAGATAATCCAAATTTCCTGACTCATGGAAACAGAAATGTTTAGCCTACACAGTTCATGGAATTGAGGAAATAGAAAAGGGGCATTCCATGTAGATTCCTTTTTTTGACCATGTCCCTCCTTTCTCTGAGATACTTTTATCAGGAAAAAACAAGTCTAATGGAGACAGCCACAAACCTTGTACAGGGTAAAGGCCAGAACTACATAGCTGGGTCAACCTGTTTTTTTTCTAAGCTGCCACATGAATGTCTTGTTCCCAGAAACAAAGAAAATCAGTTTTGCACTGAGTTTAATCTGTTTATCTCAGCATTAGAAGGTCACTTTGTGTCAACTCTTAGACTTTAAATTAATTTTAAATGTGCTTCTTGTTTAAGGCAGAAAGCTTTATTTTCCAATATACTTTAATAATGTGATAACACTTGTGATTTTTAAGCTTCTGTTGCTCCTTCTACTTGGTTTAATTTTATTTTACTTCCTATTCCTTTGCTGTATTTTCTTTTTACTGTTGAATTTGAACTGTAATTGTTTTTGAGGGTTTTTTTTTAATGGAAAGCAATATACAACTATCAGCTAGTTTGTAGCAGTTAAGGCATCAGGCTAGAAACTAGGAGAGTCCTATTCCTGCCTTGGGCACAAAGCCAGTCAGATGACGTGGAGCCAGCCAGTCTCTCTCAGCCCTAGGAAGAAGGCAAGGTAAACCACTTTCAAAAAACCTTGTTAAGAAAATGCATGGAATAGTCCCAGCAGTTATCAGGAGTCAACAATGACTTGATGATATAAATAAAAATGAATTATTATTTCAGATAGGCATCTCAAGGTCACAGCAATCCTCACCTGGGTCCGCTAGAAGAAAGTTTTCTAGAAATTGTGAACTAATTTCCCCAATTGTGATTTTATAGGATCTTTTGTACTAAGATGACTGATACATAAAAATAACAGTTTAACCAGTTTTCTGCACCTTTGGTTACTTACTACTTTAGAATTGGAAACAAGATACCCAGGGGTGGAGAAGGTGGCATATGACAAAATGTGGGTTACAATGTTGGGACACAAACTACACGATATACATATTTATGTGCCACATTGGGATACAAGTAGAAAGGGAAGAATTTGTGTTGCAGTGACACATTTCATCATTTTCACATTATTGCAGACCCTCACGATTGGCAGGGTTACTTTCCAAGTCATGAATTTGTGTCCTTTCCTTTCACCATTTTGGTACATCCTTGGTCACAATGTTAAACATCAGGAGGAGGTGAACACAATTTTTCTAATTTTGAAAACTTTTGCAACTTCTAAGCCTATTGATGTTTTCTTTTTCATGGAAGATCTTCTGACTACATATGGAGTCAAAGAGAGAGTAAGTTGACTATTATCACTCTGATGGAGAACATCCCAATTGCTATTTTATTGAATAGAACTACAAAGACTTGGGAGATATAAGGGCACCATCTTGTGGTCAGAAATAAGCATATAGATATAATTTCAGAGAAAATATTTTTCACATGAAATCTAAAACTATTAGATAAAAATGTAACTAAAGAGGGAAGAAACATGCACTTGGTTAATGTGTATTGGTTTGTGAAGAGTGGCATTCTTGCTCATCTTATATGGTAATTTTATTTTTCCACCCTGCAAATTTGCACAGCATTAAAAACTTGGCTTAGCTGTCAAATCTGGGCACTGGCAGCATGGGTGAGCCTGTTTCTTGGTTATATTGATTGTGCAATGTTGTGGTTCTGAGCTATTTATGCTACTTTATGCAGTGTTATATTTTTAATTATTGGTTGTGCTTTTATTATTTTTATTTTGTCATCTGCCCAGAGTAATTTATATTAAATTAAATTTATATTAAATGTAATAAATGAAAGTATCTTGGCCGGCTTTTCACCTTATGTTATGTCAAAATGTGGTGCTGGTTTAAAAAAAAATGCACAAACTGCACAAATCCATCCCATTACAGTTTACTGAGCAAACTATCATTAGGCAAACCATGGCTTAGCATATTACATATAATGGAGCAACGAATAGGGAAGATTTTCAGCCAAGACTGAAACTGTTAAATTGCTCAAGGAAAACCTAAAATTTTCTTTCAGCATTTTATACATTAGTTAAATCAGTTGCAATCTCATTCTTGTGAAATCTGGAGAGATTTTATGCTTTCCTGTGTTTGGAAAAGTTGATTATGCTCTAACTTAAAAGAAACATGAGTGATGTCATTGAAACAGTGTCACATTTAAAAAAGTTTCTGAATTGTATGGGAAACCAGATACACAAGAGAGCAAGAAGCAAAGCCACCATGTTCTTGAACATGTGAGCTTTTCTACTGTACTAGCAAACATAACCAAATTGAAAAGAATGTTTTCCTTGTTTCAACAGGTGATGGACAGCTCAATGCCTCTGATAGGAGAGCATGTGGAGGAAGATAGGCAACTTATAGCTGATATGGTGGTCTCCAGAATGACACAGACTTTAATGACTGTGGGAACTTCTCCTTCACCTCTGAGGCCTTGGGTAAGGGCAGGAGGCATCTTTCAGAAAAATCAATTTAACCAAGTGTCTGATTTTCAGATGACATCCAAATACATAAACCTTTTCAATACTTTAATTAAAAAAATTACTCTGAATAAAATACTGTGCTCTTTTTTCTAAAAAATCCCCAGACAAGATATGTAATTCTTTACTTTTTATATAACACAGTAGCTGAGGCTGCAATCTGAAGCGTAAAGCTGGACAGAGGGGAAAAGGACTTGAAAATTCCTTAAAGTTGTTTTTACAACAGCATAGACAACTGTATAGCTACATTCACTGCTATTCATTAAACAAGTGCAGAACACTGTAGATTTGCTTGTGTAATTTTCCTTTCTCTCTATCAAGGTTTATCTTTAAAAATTCAAAGTTTATCTTTAAAGAGTCAGGTAGAAATACTGCAAATAGCTGGAAATATTTATTTCATCATCCAAATAGTTGATACAAGGCATACTTATTAACTTATTGGACAGGTAGCCAAAATCAAATGGAAGATGTGCAAATATCTGTATGAAATCCATACCTTAGTATTGTTAATTCTGGAGACAGCAGTCATATTAGCCATCTCTTCCAAATATTGTAAGCTGTCAAAGTCCACTGAGCCAATAAGCTTCTGAATTAAGGCTAGAAAAATGTATTTAAAAGCTACTGAATGTTGAATAGCAAATGTTCTTGACTTGGAAACACATTAATCGATGTAAGGTTTTTTTTTTATTGTTGCATAGTGTTCAATCGCAAGTCAGACATAAGTGTCCTTATTTTAGAAACATACTCATTCACAGTATCAATTGTTCTCCAACTAACCAGGAGGTCTAAGAGTGCCATGCAACCCTGGGAGTGATTGGTGGGCTGCCTTTTCATTTTGTAATTGTTCCTTTTAACTTTGCTTTAATCTGGTTTTTAACTGTTTTTAACTGTAGCGTTTATATCATTTTACTGTTTCATCTGTAAACACCCAGAGGCATGCAAGTGTGATGGGCGATATAGTAATTTGATACATACATATATACCAACATACACACACATACGTACATACTGCTTCCAGGCCCACAGATGGCATGTGTTTGAATATCACTTGGAATTATAACAAAAGAGAAATATTATTCTCATGTTCTTTTCTTGGTTTTCTAACTTGTTGTTATGGGAAGCTGATTACTAGACCAGACCGCTGATCTAATAGGTTGCTTCTTATCCCAAGATCAAAACTATGGATAAAAATTAACTAAAACCTGAGTGTTTCTAAATCCCTATTTATTCATTATAAAATAATTAAGCATCTCTAATTTTTTTCCAACTGAAGGACTTTTAAATGTGGCGGAGTTGACTCAGATCAAAGCCCATATGCAAATTTCTAAACTAAAAAAAACCCCAATATATAAAAGAAATTAGCATTACTATAAAGGAGACTTTTCCCTTTAGAGAGAATCCAGTAGGATTTCCCTTAAAGTCCATTATGGCACTTTAACATGTAACTTACCATCCTGATGTCCTGCAGGTTGTTCAGATCCTTATAAAAGACCCCAGGCAGGTCTCAAGATTGCAAGTTTGTCTTAAGCAGCTTTTAAGATAGATTGTACTATAGTTAGTTATGCTTCATTAAGTGAACTTGACTGTGACATAAAGCAGCATGAGAATAGGATTTTGGCTTATTAAAGGCTATGCGGAAAAGAAAAAGTCAGCTTTCCCTATTGTATTGCGTGAATCTGCACTTACCAAAATTCTTCCTTTCACTTTGATAAGGAATAGAAATTCAAGAAGTGTTACACATTTTGTTAAAGTAACATAGTTTCCATGCCCATCAACAACATATTCTCATTTATTCTAGCTACAGTCAAGGATTAACTATAGCTAGGGGCTTATGATATACTAGACCAGGGGTCCTCAACCTGGGCAACTTTAAGACTTGTGGACTTCAACTCCCAGAATTCCTCAGCCAGCAAAGCTGGCTGAGGAATTCTGGGAGTTGAAGTCCACAAGTCTTAAAGTTGCCCAGGTTGAGGATCCCTGTACTAGACAATTGGATCATTGTTCTAGAGGTATTTCCTTCCTTACAGACTTATATAGGTAAAAAAAAAGCAGTGTGAGTGGAAATGCCTTCCAACTTCCTGCTAACTTTCTCATCAACTTTCCTTATAGAAAGCAGGCAGAGAGTGTTGGAAATGGCAATCATGTGACTGCGGCTGAGCATGAAGCACAGCGGCACTGAAACAGCCGCAACTTTGCCAAATTTCAATCTCACGGGAGTCCTGAATTTTGGACACATTCTTTAAGTTAGACCATTTGAGGTATGTTAATTAAAAAATGGTTACCCTATGATGCACTGTTTTACACAATTTAAGATTACGAGCAATCAAACAGACACAAAAGTTTTAGTAGTAGTTAATTTGAAGTTGCTATGGGCAATACATAACAGATTTCTGTTGATTCTTTTTGTGATATTCTGACTGTACTATCTTTATTTCAAGCCTCCATCACTGAAATCACAAATGCCAGGACCCCATCTTGGACAGCTTTCCCAACCTCGACCACCACCTCAAGGTACTACTTCTACTATATAATTTTGGAGCAAACTTTTAAGAGTGAGGTACTAGTTTCCTCTGTAAATGTATGTGTAGTGAAATGTGGTTGTTGAGATTTCTGCTGATTTTTTGAGGGGAATATGGTGACAGGGCAAGAGTAAGTTTAATAAATTACAGCAGTATTTATAGAGAAGGCAAAAAGATTAAGAATATATATTTTTTTCTCAGACAGTCCATCCTGAAAAAATATTAGATTTAACATCTAAGCTTAATAGGAAAACAGAAGCAATGCCAACAAAAACTTGAGAAATGCTGAAATATATTTTTGTTTCAGTTATGCAGCTTGCACACAGATTGAAGTTACAGATTTCAAAAATTAAAGAGCAGAATTTAAAACGCAACTTTATTAGGGGAATGTTAGTGAACTGAGACAATAAAGATTTTTTTTAATCTTTTGCTAAATTATAGCAAGGATCTACAAACGTCTGTGCCAGTGGGTATGTGTGACAAGAGATGGTAATGGGAGTGCTCAAAGGAAGTGGTTTTCCTGAGAGACTTGCCATTTACAAAATGGCTGTTAGAGTTGGCACCAGTACACAGAAAACATTAGTTTGCCAGAAGAAAAGTAGGGACCCACCCTTCTTTCATCCTTTCTAATTTAGTGTATTTGGTATCAGCCTCAGTTAACCTTTTGGCAGTTTCTCTGTTCATAGCTACTGGTTAGTTAGCTATCCGGGGGAGCCATACACTCAACCTCCTTTATGAAAATTTTCCGAAGTTGACCATGTGAAAAAAGAAATACACAGAGACAATATATTCATGGGAGCAAGAGATATTTTAAAATCCTTGAAAGTTTTCATTTCTTAGAACTCTTCATCAGCTAAGGTTTATAATTAATTATAAGTGATTGATAATCCAAGAAAAGGGGATGTCCAGTCTTCCAACAAACTTGTATCAGTTCACAGTCATAATGTTAATGACAAAGATCATACCTTTCATATAAACCAATCTTGTTTTACAGACCAGTGTTTCTATTCCTTTGCTCCAGGTGGCCCATGGCAGCCTCAAGGATCACAGCCAGGAGCCCCACCCCAGCAAAGGCTGTCCCCACAGGGTCAGCAACCTCTGAGCCCTCAGTCCACCTCATCACAGCAGCAGAAGTCACCTGGATCTCCTCAGCAAACAAGATCGTCAGCAGGAAGCTCACCAAGCCAGCCTTCCAAATTAGGCACATTTCCCTCCCAGCAACCACGACCTCCGGCACAAGGATGGGCTCCTGGCCAAGGATTCAGTGAACCTTCCAAGCAGCATCCTCATCTGAAGTATGTGGGAAATTTTTTACAATGGATAATTCTTGTAATTTAAGTTAAGGTTGCTACAGGTCAAGCCATTATCGGTGTCCCTGAACCGCCACTGAAGATGTTACCTAGCCTGGTAACGAAATGTTCAGAAACCAACCCACAAGCTTGGAGAACGAACCTTCACCCTCTTCTCCTTTTTGCTGGCAATGACAAATGTTACAGATCAATCCCAATGATACAGTAGTGTTAAAAGTTTGTGAACCCTTTTGAATTGTCATTATTTCGGCATAAATATTATATGAAGCATCACAGAAGCCCTAAGTCTAGATAAAGAAAAGCCTATTAAATAAGTCAAAAATATTGTAATTCTTCATTTTTTATTGAGGAAAATAATCCAAAGCTAGATATATATGGCAAAAGTATGTGAGCCTTTGCTTTTAGGAATTGGTAATCCCACTTTGGTCAGCAATAACTGTTAACTAATTATTTCTGGTAATTGTGGATCTCTTTTGAACAATAGCCTGAAGGAATTTTAGCCCATTCCTAATTACAGAAGAGCTTCATGGGCTTTTTCAAGTAAATTGCCCACTTAAGGTGCTTCCACAACATTTCTATAGAATTAAGGTCAGGACTTTGACTTGGCCATTTCAAAACATTGTTACTTGTGCTTTTGCTATTCTTTGGTCATAGAGCTTCTATGTTTTGGATCACTGATTTGCTGTTCCTGTTGAGCTTCACCTCAGACAGATATCCTATTTTCTTACAATTTCCTGATACAATCCGAAATTCATAGTTCCATCAATGATGAAAGTCGCCTGATCTAGAGACTGCAAACCTGGCTTAAGGCATGACGTTGCAACCACATTTCACATTCTTTTGCCACACAAAAAATATAGCTTTAGATCATTTTCTTCAGTAAATCAATGGACAAGTATGTTTTTGATTCATAGTTTTAATGTTCTCTAACAAGTTTTTAGGATCTATGTAGAAAAACAGATCACATTTTAGGTCATATTTATGCATATTGAAAATTCAAAAGGGTTTATAAACTTTTAAGCATCACTATAGGTGTCTAACAACAGTAGTGACCCACTACTTCCTAAAGCTTCTAAATTTTGTAAAGGAAATAGCCACATTTTTATTCCTTTTTCTTCTTTTTTTCAGCAAATCACAATCCTTGACAAATACCTTCAACATCTCAGAATCTTCACAGCGAGGTATCACAAATGAAGATGAGGCAAAGGCTGAAACCATCCGTAACCTGAGGAAGTCATTTGCTAGCCTGTTTTCTGATTAGCATCACAAACCTTAAGAGTAATTTTGGATATTTGGGTCTTCTTTCCATGCAAATTCCTCTCATTTTATAGTTCCCTATACAAATGTGTCTTTAAATGTATCAATCGTTATAGTTTCTTGTATGTATTCCTATATTCAGCAAAGGGGAGGGGAAAAAGCAATTGAAAAAAAGCAATTGAATCTGTCTCTCTGGGCTCTGGATAACAGTCATCGAAATGTTATTCTCAACTTACAGAATGCAAACACGTCCATCATCACCTACATGCAGAGGTCATCTCATGCACAATCAGGGCTATAGAATGCTGCAGTGCGTATGAACAGCTTTGAACACTTGCTGGGCCATTTATGGCAGAGGTGCAGAAAAGAGGCAAATAGTTAAGTTAAGATTAATATTCATTTATCTTAACTATTTTTATATATTAGCATGATTCTTCTTATCTTTTATAAGTCAGATTCTAGTTTGCTCTTTTAAAAACCCAGTTATAAAACTATTCCTCCAAAAATGTGTTATCCCTCTGAATTATTCCTTCTCAATTCAAATTTCCTGGGCTAAACTATTATAATTCTTAGGTAGCACACAGTTGAACCATTTTACTGTGGTCAATATACAACCAGGATTAAACCCATTCTGATTCCCAGGTGCAGGGATATATAGACATCATTTAGAATTAAAATCCTTCGCATGCTCTGTTACAATAGTGCAACTTGCCTAAGGTTTACCTAGTATCCACTGTAATAGGTATCCAAAGTAATAAATTGAACTATAATGATGTAGGCCTTTATATTGAAGTACCGTGTGTATGGAAACAAATATACAGGCCTTAAACTTTAGCTATCAACATGTCAGAATTCATCTTTACAGCAGCATATCATGCATTTCAGAAAAAAATGACTGAAAACAAAGATCTTTGATCCACATTGGGACTAGGATTTCACAATGAACTACCTCTCTAGAGAAATCAAGTCATAAAATTCTTATTCTGCAGTTACATACATGCATACAAAAGTGATAAAACAGTTTAGAAAGAAGCCAGCCACCATGAAATACAACTCAATATTTCAAGGCCATCAAAATACGAAGTAGCAACCCTTTCAGAATAAAACATGGGAAATGTTTCTTTCCAGCCTCAAAAATTCTCCCCAATATCAGTATCCAAATTATGCAGTATGACACAATTTAGCCACTCAATAGTCAGGATACAAGTGAAGTGTCAAGAGATGAGGAGGAAAATAGGAGTTCTGCTACAAAAAAGTTTAGAGGTTTCTCTTTAAACATTGATATAATTGACCTTTTACTGCATTATCTATACAAAACTGATGTAAATGGCACATTGCATTATATGTGCATTTGTTGTATATAGGTTCCAGAGCAGGCGTGTCCAATCCGTGTGTGGCCCTGGAAAACTAGTAATCCAACTCAAGATTGTAAAATTTTAACATTATGTGATTTATATACATTGTTTTATATGCAGCTCAAGATCATTCCTCTTCTCTCAGTGCAGCCCAGGCAAGCCAAAGGTTGGACACCCATGCTCTAGAATAAGTCTACGTAATTTTTCAACTCAGTGCAGCCACGTTCAAAAAAGCCAAACTGTTTTGTTCCTTAATATTGTTTGCACAGGGAAAGCTCTGTATATGTTTCACCCCAAATTCTAGAATGGAACCTTACCTATTTCCTTGATTTTTCCCTAAACCCTGTAAAAACAATTTGGTAGACTGAGGAAAATAAATATTACCACTACTTTGAGTGTTTAGCAGCTCTCTGAAATGCATCTGAAGAACAACTCAGCATTTCAAGAGAAGTGCAGATAAGGATCTACTTCCATTTAAAATTACCCAATTGGAATTGTTTATCAAACCCAGCACATGGTTTCCTGAGCTAATGTTCATAGCAATGTGATCTAACTTCTTCAATATTATCAGTATGACTTACTTCTCTGAATGTGTCATGTAGAATGGCACAATACAGCTAACTGTTCAATGACTTCAGTATCTTAGGAAAATTCCAATAGAATTTGTTCTGACAGAATTTGCTAGTGGTTTCCCATCACCAGCACATCATAAATTAATGTCATTCCTAGATCTACTAAATTTCACCCTAAATTCTCCTCTCAAATAAGTTTAACCTACCTCAAGAAAGATAGAACAATTACATACTAGTGCATTTTGCACTGGAATATTACAGAAATATTAAATAATTCCTCTCATAAGCAGTTATCCTATTTTGCAAGCCAAACAGCTAATTATACCAATGTTGTACAGTTGTTGGAACAAAGGTCTTTATCATCTGCAATATTCTGAGCAGTGTGCATCCTAATGCCACCACAGTGTAAGTATTAGAAATACAACTACAAAGAACCAATTGTTTAGTAAAAGCAAATTTGCACTGTTAGACTCAAGCAATTTTAGAACTGATTTATGCATGTTTGAGTTCTAACAAGGTTGATTATAGCACTTTAGTGTATTATAAACTAGCACTTAAGTATTAACTGTTGGTCTGTTGGTGACATGATAGCAGTGTTCCAATATCTAAGGGGCTGCCACAAAGAAGAGGGGGTCAATTTATTCTCCAAAGCACCAGAAGGCAGGGCAAGAAGCAATGAATGGAAACTAATCAAGGAGAGAACTAACCTAGAGAAATTTCCTAACAGAATAATTAATCAGTGGTCACAAATACTGAACAATCCTTGTGATAGTAAATAAACACATCTTTATAATACTCTACATATAAAGTACTATATATTCTAAATATAGTACAATCACATCTTTAAGTTCTTAATATGTGAGCTCATTAATGTAAAACCATGAAATTTAGAATTTGAGCTGTAAGACGTAACAGCCACCTATGGAATTCTCATTGTTTAGTATTGTGTTCAATCTCTCATCAAATTGAAATTTAGGATGATACAAAACTGACACATCAAAATCAGTTCACTTAAGTAACTCTTTTTGTTTTTTTAAATAAATCTGAAAATACGATACAGAGAAAAATTCGGAATAGCAAAGATAATACATTTTCCCTTGAGAAGCCATCAATGGAGAATCATCCATGGTTATATTGTGTGTGTTCAACCTTAGATTACTTTCTAATAAGACCTATCACTTATCAACTGATCAACTAGACAGTTATGTCTTCTTATCCCTAAGAATTGCACGTCTTGTAATTATACATTTAAAAGTAACTAGGAATGTTAACCCAACTTAGTTGGCTGAAAAATGTTAAAAACAATTAAGCAATGTTTATTTAAATGTACAGATGGCCCTGTCATTGTATTTCATAAAGTACTTAGGGTACTTTCTGTTGAAATTTACTACAAAAAAAAAATGAAATAGAAAGGCAGCAACTTTTTGCCAGAGCTTCTGACATTCACCATTTCTCATCTTCTGGGTTATACTATAGCATGTTATTATTCAACTGTTTGTAAGGTGAACAGTTCAATGTCTTATTCTCTCATATGTAAAAAAAATCATTTTAACTCAATATTCTTTGTGCTTTGAAATCCCCAATACCAACATTGCTTTTCAAGTAATAAAGAAAATATATGAAGTGTCCAAAGAACAATCAAATCAGGTGGTTTTTGTAGCCTTCCAAATGCCAGATATTGCATAGAACAGAAAATCTTTTCATGGAAAAAGCATTTAGTCAGGCTAATTACTGGAAGAAAAGAACATAGCACAAATATTTAAATGACAGATTTAAAAATTAAAACAACCCAGACCAACTTAGTTTATATTTTAAAGTGCTTTTTATCTGATGCAACAAAAGCAAACCTTTTCGTTTCTAAGAAGGAGCCTGCCACTGTAAATGAAAAGAATAGTGTCCCACAATATGCTTGCAAAAAGGATCTGCATTTCCAAGGGAGGCAGGCCAACTTGTTTGCACTGAACTGTTGGGCCCAAGTCTATGGAATCAAGATGCGGTAGTACTTATGCACTGTCATAATTTTAAAACAGCAGACATCATAGCTCTGAAGCTGAAGTATGTTACCGTACAGTTTTAAAGTAAGCCCACAAAGAGAGGTTTAAAACTTTATCAATAAGGCTGAAAGAGTTCTCATATGAATGCACGGCGGCTATCAACTGGGCGGCTCCGACTGGCTCTTCCTGGGAGAGTTGGATTGGGTTCTTGAAATGACACCAAAGGATCAAAATATGGTAAAGTGAAGAATGGATCTAAGTGTGGGGAAATAGGAAGATATTGACTTGGAAGCTCAGCAGGGCCAGGAAAGAGGGAGCTTATTGGATCACCAATGGAAGGGACTGCTGGCCTCTCATCAAATTCACCACCAATGATATTGGGGGGATAAAGTGGATTAGGACAAAAAGGATTGGGATACAGTGGACTGGGATGAAATGGCACAGGGAGGGGAGGAGGGGGCAGAAACATCATGTGTCTCCACTTCAGTGCGTCTTTCTTCTGCTTCAATTTTTTCTTGTACAGCTGTAGAAAAGGGGAAAATAAAATTTAGCTTGACATTTCATAGCATTCGTTGTTATAAAAGCTTGCTAGTATATTCCTGAATATTTGGAATAGATGAACCAAATTTATTAGCACAACCTATCTCTGTGCTTTCTCCAGCTTCATAATTTTTTTTTATTTCATTCAATTTTTCAACCAATATGGAATTTTGGACCAGAATTCAACAGCTGGAAAGAAGCTGTGCAGGCTGGCATTCATTAGAATAATAATGTTCACCTGCTCTTTCAGCACGGTCTTTAAAGAAGAGCTTGCTTCCTATGTCAACTGGAGGTTTCAGTTAGCTGAGAATGTAATTTGTTGAACTCTTGGTTATTTGGATTGTATATATTCTTAAAAAACAAAACAAAGCAAAACTAAAAAATATACTATGATACCCACTTACTTCTTTCCAATCCGTGTCTCGAGATCTGGCAACAGGATCTGCATAAACATGTAAGATACAAATCAGCAATTCTATAATGATGTAGACAACACATTAGGTAACTTGTATTGATGGCATGACTGCTCCAAGACAATAACCATTTATTGGACACAATGTCCAAACAGCTTCATAGAGGTATAATTCCTTACAAAGAACCCTGACAAATTAACTTGCAAAACTGACAACAAGCCTCTCATTCAGCGTCATGTTAGAAAAAAAGTTTTATGAACAATTACCTCTAAAATCTCGCAAGTATATGAACCTCCACAATAACTGATCATTCGAAGCAGCATAAAGATCATGACAAACAGCAGACAAAGAAATTAATGAGCGAAAGTCCAAGAGCCGGAAAATTCGGAGTTTCAGCTCCAATGGAAGAACCACCAGGCCAAACACATCTGGTAGATTTAATGCTAAAATGAGAAGGAGAAGAATAACATTATCACAACATTCCAGCAGTTTTATTTCTTATCTATTCCATAATTATAATTAAATGCTTGAAACAAAGCATGTTGATAATATTTGGCTGAAGAAAAAGCCTATTTCTATGCAACGAGCTTTGAATTTAATCATGCATTTATCAGAGACATCAAAAGTGACATAATATTATGATCATTTAATTGGGTTCTCTTTACCTACTTTTAGGGCTTCTACTGGAAACAGATCACATCAGAAAAATTATACAGAAATATTGAAACTTCAAAATAATTCATTAATTTTAAGCACTACTCTATTTCTATTGAAAGATATGAACAAGTGGGACTAAAAAGACAATGTTACCAGAGGTATGAATGCCACTAACCAAATACTCTATAGTCCCTGAAATAAAACTCTAGAGCACTGTCCCTGACAGATTTAGAAGGCACTTATTTGGAGAGAAGTCACATTAGAGTATCAACAATGAAAGGTTTCACTCTCCCGATTCCAAAATCCTCTGGAAGCTACACAATAAGATAAGTATGGAATATCATCTAGCTTTTCTTCAGCCTAGTTAAAAAAAAGAAAGAAACAAAACAAAACAAAAAACACTCCTATTCAGATCAAAGTTAATATATTATTGCTTTACTATGTTGTCAAGTCACATAGGAAATAGCCCCTCCGGCTGGCTCAACTACAATAGAGTTTTGCCTGTTAAGTGTAACAAAAATAGTTTCAAAAGGCACTTACAGATTTTAATCTATTTTATAACATTTCTCAAATTAGAATCTGGTGCTTGTTCAACTTATAAGTCACAGCTGCAACCATGATGGGATGAGAAGCAGAAGGAAGTGCCTGATTTATAAATAGCTAAAGAACTACGGCTCAGAGTCTGACTACCCATTTAGTGGCAGGGACAGAATCTTGCTGAGTTGGGATCCATTCTGGTTACTTGGCGTCAGAACCTGAACAGAGAGTGGCAAACTTGTTTGCATAAATGAGCTTCACATGGTACACTTGATGGTCTAGACCAGTGTTTTTCAAACTTGGCAACTTCAAGATGTGTGGACTTCAGCTCCCAGAATTTCCCAGCTTCAGCTTCTGGGAATTGAAATCCATACATCTTACATGCTGAGGCAGAGAAACACTGGTCTAGTCAGCTGTAGAGAGCTCAATGTATAGAAAGTCATCTCAAACAGTCGTCTCAAAACAGTTTGAACCAAAAATGATCAAATTTAATAAGTGAAGGGAAATCAGAATCATACTGAGAAAATATTGCTGTTATTCTCTCAAAACCTTCCTGTTAAATGAGCTTAGTGGGGGGGGGGGGTCCATGTTTTCTGCTAAACTCATTGGGCTACAAACGTATTCACTCACCATACTTGGTGGTTTTACCTGTTACATAATAAACATTCTACAAAAAGATTTATAAGACTCCTTCCGTGATCTGCTTACCTTGCCGAGCAGCAGCTAGAAGAGGGTATACCAGCCGATCTTTAAAGAGACAAGAGAGCTTCTGAAGGTCCTTATACACACCTGCAACATTTCCTTTAGAAAAAATAAAAATTCAAAATAAATATCATCTGCTCAGTGTATCCTTTTCTAATTATTTGCCTCTAAGAACAAATCATCAAGCAGTAAAATGGAAAATAACTGGTTCTCTCATTCAGATTGGCAATATGCTGTAATAATTTGATTTATATCAAATAGCAAAGCCTGCATGGACTAATGAATTTGGTGGACCTATTAGCATGGTTAAACTGCACAATATTCAGAATCTATGGAAAGTTTTTTAAAGTTTTAAATGAGGAAGAAGAGAAATTGCATTACATCAACTGTAGCAGCCATTTCAATGATAACGTATCTATGACTGTTTCATTATTTCTCATAGAGCTGGGAAACTATAGCCCCCTTTAAGAATGCTATTAGAATGAGTCTCTTAAAATTTTCAATACAATGGGTCCCCCTAGTGAGGCATTATCTGCCATTACACCACTATCTTAATACTGTACAAACAAGCAAGAGGTTTATAAAGGAAAGATTAAATATAAACTTTTTTTTAAAGATGCAGCCTTACAAATGTAAAAGGGGAAAGGCTGAAAGTGGAAGGTTGCCTCTAATGAAGTCTGTGCTAGAATCTGCATGCTCAAAACTTCCCCCTGAATATAGTATATCTACAATTTCCTACACGTTATCACGCAGAAATGAAAGAAAACACATCTGGGAACCTAGATTAGCTGCACAAGCAGAAAGTATCGGCATAAAGCTCCCAATTCAAGCATTAATATCTCCCCCTGCTGTGGCCAAGAGGGAGATTAAACCAGAACTGCAGATTGAAAGGTGGCTTAAAAGAAACTCCAGACAACTGCTTAATAACCTAAATTTAAAACCTGAAGTATTTAATAAACTAGAGTTTATTTCTCTCCTAATGGCCAAATAGCAAAAGCAATAGCACTTAGACTTATATACCGTTTTACAGTGCTTTACAGCCCTCTCTAAGCCGTTTGGAATCAGCATATTGCCCCCAACAATCTGGGTCCTCATTTTACCAACCTCGAAAGGATGGAAGGTTGAGTCAACCTTGAGCCGGTGACACTCGAACTGCTGACAACCAGGAGTCAGCAGAAGTAGCCTGCAGTGCTGCATTCTAACCACTGTGCCACCAGGGCTCTTAAAAGTAAACTTTTCTTGATAAACAGAGGGGAGAGGTAGGGGGAATCGAAACACAATTAACCTGTCATTCTGCATTTGCTTATTCATTTCCCACATGTATTTTAAATTATCTTTTTAAAGGGCTGTTTTATCTTGATATATAAATTCTCAAGATGTACTATTGTTATCTTTAAATATTGGAATAAATGTCATGTTTTTATGGTTGTGGGGAAAAAAACAGGAATGCATCATGGTAAATTAGTATTTTTCAGAATACTTTGTTAGCCACACTTCTTTTTCACCTGTAGCAGATTCTCTAGGCCCATAGTAATTGTCTACTATGTATAAGTATTTTCTCCTACCTTTAAGAGAAAATATGTCCCTTGCAATATATTTTACCATTGTTTGGAATGTTTTGTTTTCATAAAATATATTACTGAGGAGCTCAATGCCTGACAGGAGTTCATGAGGTCAACAAGTTCATGAGAACTTATTTGAATAAGTTTAAAATGTTCAGTGACACAACTTAAAAATGCCTCCTACCTACTTCATCTTCTAATTTGCTCAGTTAACAATAAAAATTAATGTGGTATTACTCATCTATTAGCTTCTTGCTGTTTCCCAAAATTCAGATTCAGATACCTGAGTTTTCAAAGCAGATAAATGTAGCTGGCAGAAGTTGTAGTCTCTTCACACTTTTGATATCAATGTCAATCTTCAGCATTGCTAAAAACCAAAAAAAAAGACACTAAAAGAGCTTAACAAAAAAAAACATTCTTGGTGATTCTGAACTTCCAGGGAAAACTCAAAACAGAATAAATTTAATCAATAGCAGTGTGTGCTGTAAGAAATACAAGAAAAAATATGACACACCCCTTCTTCCCCTTGGAAGTTGTGTGGCATAATACTCCAGGATATATGAATGAATCTAACCAGCTTGGATTTCTAAGTGTAATGAGTTACAGAATGACATTATGGTTTAATTTTGTCTGTGCTCATGGAAAGTCTCCTTCACTTCCTTCAAAAAAGACTTTTCTGAGACCTTAAACAGCATCTCAGATGGGACTGCCCACTGTTCTTTCTCTTTTGAAGCCCTATCTCTCAGTATCTATTTTACAGCCTAATCCTTTTAAGGCAAATTTGTTTCAATATACTACTGATTGCTTGTACCTTCAATTGGGCAAAACATGTGTCATAGGGCACTATTTTTTGAATCAACTGATTCTTATGTCTTTCAGCATAAGAACTGTTAGTAGTTACATAGCATGGAAGACAAAGAATAACAAATGCTAGCCTTCAATCAAATAAATATCAGAATATACCTACCATTGATAACAATAAGGTCTCCCAAAGGCACACAAGTAAGGACAGCAATGCCATTTTCACAGAGGGGATGGGCATACTGTAGCTTATAAACACCTCTGTTCCGCCATTTGTCAGGCATTCTTGTTGCCTTTGACTCTGTTCCCTATGAATAATAAAAGAGGAATTTAACAAAGCAACTAAAACCTGACTACAGATTTGTTGTGAGTTTGCAATAGCACTACTGAAATCATAGGGTGAGAATTTTGATTATGGCAACAGTGCAACTAAAGCACATAAGTAGTCATTGTCAAATCTTTCTCAGTCAGCCAGGCAAGAAATTACAAGAAAGTCTTACAGAGAACCACAATTCTAATTAGGAGATTTATTGTTATGAAGTTAATGAAGCCATTACAAAAGTGGCCAGAGTATCAAGTGAAGCCCCATTTATTCTGAAATTAACGTTCCCATTAGTGTCTCTCTTCAGTGGAAAGCAGTCCCAATCATTGGCATAGCCTTACACTTTATTATTAATCTGATAATTATGCAATTAGATAACTAATTTTCACTAAGATCATCATCTCAAATTATACTGTTGATAATGAAGAAGCTAAATAGAAATTTCATGAATCAAACTCGAAGCAACAAATATTTGCCAAAAAAAGCGCTTAGATTAAAATATTAAATTCAGAACTTAATTCTACATATGTAGCTGTGCTGGGAAGCTTTGATAAATCTTTGATAACTCATATTCACTATCCCAGTTCTAATTAGCCTAATTATTTTTAATGTGACACACTCTACATATGAGAAAGGAGAATACTATTTCATACTATTTCATTCACCTTCCATGGGCTAAAGGTAAATGTCTGCAAGACAAGAACTTACCTGAAGAGCTTTCATGCTGAGGCTCATTAAAAAGGGACAATCAGGTAATATATTTATTTAATTAGTATCCCACATTTATTATAATACCGAATATTCACATAATATTTTATTATAAAACAAATTTATGTTGTACAGCAACACCTAGAATTACTATATACAGTTCTGGTTTTCACATTTCTTTTGCTAGATGTGTTGTGCATTAACTGCGTTCTGCTCAATGGATATCCAGTACAAATTATGACTAATGCAGAACAGTGTGTTGCCATAATATTCTGGATTGTGACAACCAATATATTCATGAGTAATAGTATGCTTTATCACTAAATCATGTCTTACTGGAAGCCAACATTATCTTAAGATAATGTCAATGATGAAAATTATGAGAATTGAAATTCAACCAAATCTGATGGGTTGCACAGTATTCACATTCAGACATCCTTTGTAAAACTTTGCTTACTTGAGGTATATATCCTGTTTCCATCATGATAAGATGGATCAAAACTATCAAGGCATCATTGGCACTGGTACATTCTGCAGAATGGTAGAGGGTCTGAAGTGAGTGTGGTACTTGTCCATCCGTAGCTTCAGAGCAAAGCATTGGCTCTGAAGGATAAGAACCAGAAGCTTCTTGGAAGTCAAAGTCATCAGATACAGCTTCTGAAGCAAATGCTTGGCTGGATTCTGCCTTGAAATGACAGCAGCAGAAACAAGAGGGCATTAAAAAGTTATATTTACTTTAGTAAAATGATAAAAGGAAAGGGTTTCTATGAAAAAAGCCGATCTCTTTAAAAATAATGGAAGCAGCCCAAGCCCAAGTATTTTCCCTACTACGCACAATGAAAGCGTCTTCATGTCTTATGCACTTACCGTATTGTCTGTATTCATCTGAACATTATCTTGAACTGTACGGTCTAGAAGATGTCCATTGTGTCTTTCACTATCTAGAATTTTAGACTGGTTGTGACAAATGGCTGAAGTTGATGGTTCATGATTATTCTGTTGTGGATGCAGGGATGAAGTGTGAGTTGGAAATACTCTTAATTCTGTCTCAGTATCTTCCACTATCAAACATATCAAGTCTCCTGAAACAATCCCAAATGATGCTAGGGTTTCCTCATCTCCAGTAAGGGAATCTTTGTTGTTCAATGTTATTGCAAACTTGATGTCAGAACTGCAGGGAAAACAATATTAAGCACATATTTTATATTGAGGAACACACACCAACTGTAGACTAAATGATGATTATTATTATTATTATTAATTTAATTTGTACCCCGCCCTTCTCCTCATGGGACTCAGGGCGGCTAACAGCCTCATAAAAACCACAATACAATTACAATAACATCTATATTAAAAACCGAATTAAAAGGAAATATTTAAGAAGGTCGATTATTCAAATTATCCTTAAAATACCCTTAAAAAACCCCGCTAAAAAATCCCTAGGCCAGACCCGCTTGTTGAAAAAGCCATGTCTTTAGGGCGCGGCGGAAGGAGGGGAGATCCGGGATCACCCGGATCTCTGGGGGTAGTTCGTTCCAGAGGGTGGGGGCTCCCACCGAGAAGGCCCTCCCCCTGGGGGTCGCCAGCCGGCACT